AGCTGGAACCTACTCAAAGGCACACACCACCAACAACAAATTTATAAAAGCTTCACAGCTTTTCTTCTGTATAGAACTCAGACTAAGACACCTATGTAAAATGGAATAAAACACTGCCCAGTCCTGTGTCAACTTCACAATTCTTACTATTTTTGAGCACAGTGTTGTAACCACTGTGTCAACCCATCTCTTTGATAAGTCTTTCTGGTTTTCACTGACTCTATACTTTACCAAGCATATACTTTACCAGTCCTTCTCAAGGGACTGGTATACCTTATATAAGATAACATATACAAAATTATCTACTCAATGACAGTGTGTTGTTTGGTTATACATCCTTTAAAACTAAAGTTAAAGTTTATTCAAGAGACCTTTTATTTATTAAATATATATTAAGTGTTTACTACATGCCAGAAAATTCTAGTCTAATTTCATGTTACATGTCATGAAAACCATTTTTTTTTTCTTATTTTTAAATGGTGCCCTAAATGCTGCAGTACAACTGATTAATCCACTGTCCTCGAATCAGTTCTAACTCACAATGATGGCAAATTAAAATCATTTCATGATTTTACCTTTTCACCTTTAGAGCCTTTGAGACCTCTGACACCATCTGCTCCCTAAGAAATAAAACAGAAGGGTTAAATGACTATAACTTTTCACACTGACCTTAAATAATGTGACAAAATTAATATTTACCTTTACTCCTCGAGGACCAGGGTAACCAATAGGGCCTTGTGGACCAGGAGGGCCCTGAAAAGTAGTAATTGCACTTTCAATGTATAATACATTGCAAATATTACTCATGCTATAAATTAATAAATTCAGTAAATAATCTATAAAATATGGCACTTTTTACTACTAATATTTGGTAAAGGTATTTTGAGTAGTGTTTATCATTTTTTAAAGATATGTTGTAATTATATAATACAAAGCAAACTTTAAGACAATTAAAACCTGATTTTCTCTTCTTACAGACATAATGAGCCATAGCAGGGAATTATGGACTCCTGATATGGCGCTGTAGAATCATCACTGGACTGTGAATCACAAGATGGGCAGTTCAAACCCACCAACTGCTCCTTGGAAACCCTATGTACAGTCGCTCTGAGTTGGAACCAGCTTGACAACACTTAACAACAGCATCAACAATAGATGATAATAAATAAAATGTTCAGTTTAATAATTTTTCATATAAAACTTAAATTTGTAGCATTTACATCATTTTGAATATGTTGTTGTTGTTTGTACAATTGAGTCAGTTTCCACTCATACGTATAGGGGTTTCCAAGGAGTGACTGGTAAGTCTGAACCGCTGACGCTGCAATTTGAACCATGCTTGTGGCCCAGTGCATTATCATAGGGTACCACACCAGAGGTCCTCAGATATAAAGGGACTTCAAAAAGTTCCTGGAAAAATTACACTCTCTTTTAATTCTATTTTTTCCATGATGCCTACTTAAATGATCAAAATGATACATTTTCTACTCTTGCCTTCATTTCACTACGCTACCTAAAGAAATAAGTATAGAAAATAGAATTTCTATTTTCAACAATATTGAGAATTTTAATAAGTAAGCAAGCCTAGCAACTCTGAGCAAAAAATGATGTCACACAGCTATTTAATTGAAAACAGTATTAACACTGAATACACTTGTACTTTGATGTTTTATTTCCATATAACGATAATTATTGCTCTGTAATGTAAGCTCCCCTTGGAAAAGATTATCAGAAAGTAGTAAGTGAAGACAAAATCAAGGTAATATAAACACTTTTATTGACAGTCAATAATTCTTGTTTATTTCATTGTTGTGATCTATTGTCACTCATTGAACAAATAGTTGATAAGCAGAATGAGAATATATTTTAAAAACAGGGAAGATACTCTAATTTATAACACTGCTAACATAAAATTCAAATGTATCTATTTAAGACATGACTGTCTCTTACAACCTGAGAAAAACTCATCTTATGGACATTATTTATACTTAAATTTTAGCAAATATTTTTAGAAAATAAAATTATAAAAGTAAAGATGAGCTTTAATTTTAATACTCACACTGCTAAATAATTTTAGAATAATTTCTTGTTATTGTTGTTGTTGTTGTTAAGTGTTGTCGAGTCGGTTCTGACCCATAACGATCCTGTACAGGGTTTCCCAGGCTGTAAATCTTTATGGGAGCAGAAAGCCTCATCTTTCTCTTGCAGAGCGGCTGGTAGTTTTGAAAATTCTAGACCTTAAGGTTCACAGCCCTATTCATAACCACTACACTACCAGAGTTCCTATAGAGGTGACCAAATAAAAGCTATTTTGATAAACTAGTAATACATATGAATAGTTATACTGTAACATACCAGAGCACCCTTATCTCCAGACTGGCCTTCTTTTCCAGGATGACCCTATATTTAGCAAAAATATATACTGGTTAGATGCAGTCCTAATGGTAGAGTTCATAGCATAATAAAATTGTTCTTTTCTGTGGGTTTTTTTTTTTTTATTTATTGAGACTTCACTCTGTGTTTCCAAAAGATTAAATATTTTTCATATCAATGTATATGTCTTTAAGCAGCATTAAAAGCTGTGATCCATGGAAGAAAACATAAGTGTATATTTGATGGTTGGACAAAGCAGGGAAAAGCTACTAAATCAATATGTAATATTATTCATGAATAATGTAACTCCATTCTCAAACAGGGTTCCACATGAGTATACTGTATTTACCTTTATTTCTAGTTTTCATATTGATCTAATGAACACACATGACACTTCAAAACACAACTGTGTAAATGGGACATATATATGAAAATATATATCCCATTTATTTCTATAAATACTAATACTACTCATCTATTTATGTAACATTCAGACTCAGCTGTAGAAAACTACAGCTGTATCACAATTATACTTAATAACAAGTATAGGCAGCAAGGAAATTCTCATATCCAGAGCCACAAAAATTTGATAAAGTGATTTGAGGGGGAAAAAAGTAAAAATGAAAATAAATAAATAAAGACTGTGGGTATTTCACAATTATAGTTTTATGACCACCTTAGATAATAATGAGCTCAGTATTTCCAGAGAAGAAGGAAATCTCTGAATGCTGAGGAATTCTCGTGGAAGATGTCTGAGGAGGGTTTTGAATGGTGAGAAGCTTCACCTGGATTCATAAAAAAATGTGTAGTCTGAAAAAGAGTAGAAGATGTTAAAGTGCCTTCTCTGAAATAAAGGAAATAGGAAAGTTTTAGTGATGGAAAAGTTTAGTGCATGGTGAAAAAAAAGTGAAGAGGTCTCTTTGCTGATAGTTCATGAGAAGGCTGGAAAATATTAGGTTCTAAGGAGGTTCTGGCATAAAGAGCCAGGATGACTTTATCCAAAGGCCACTGCAAGCTCATTAAAGGTTTTCCAATATTAAAGTGACATGATGAAATGGTACTTCAGAAAGACCAATGTTTTATTACTGGCTACATTATCTTTATTAGTGACTTCATATAATAATTTCTTTTAAATTTGTAAAATAGATTACTTATAATATATTGAAATTTTAATCACCAGGTAATTGTTACTTACCGGAGGCCCATCAGCACCAGAGAGTCCAGCAAGCCCTGGTTTTCCTTGTGGACCCTAAGCAAATACAAAATGTTCAGATTTTAATTTAAATAAATGAAAATAATGAAAAGCTCTGACTCAATATATAGGAATGTTGTTGTTGTTAAGTGTCTTCGATTCAGTTCCGACTCATAGCAACCCTGTATAAGGTTTCTGAGGAGTGGCTGGGGAGTTTGAACTGCTGACCTTGTAGTTCAAACTCACCTTGAGGTCGACTGTTTATCCTATGGTGCCACACAAGAATGTATAATTAATAAAATTCTTGACTTGAGTCATTACCTTCTAATTATAAGGAAAAAACCTTCTAAATAATTTACTAGCAGATTATAAAACATGAAATTTGGTTTATTTTACATTTAATTATTATTTCAGTAGTGAGATCAGCAGTCCTAAATGTCTTTTTATATTTAATAGATCAGTTTTTGAATGATAAAGAAGGAAAAAATAGATCTGAAATAAACTGATTTGCTTACTGAAAGATGCAAGCATTGGGTATTATCAATAATATCAATAAGTGACAAGTGAAGAATTTAGTAACATAAGTAGAATACTAAAAAAAATAGTAAGACATTTTAAGAAATATGAGTTATGGTTTGAGGTAGGAAATAAATACAAATATTTTGTATTTATAATACAAATAAATACAAATCTAATATTTTGATGCTAAAAGAATACAACTTCATATGAAACTATCAAATGATGATAAAATATCTAATCATTTAACATTTTCTAATCCATGTGTAATCATAGAAAGTTAACTATTTTATTTAATTTGATCATTGCTAAATTTGGCCTGTGTGGTGCTGTAGGGTAAGCAGTAAACTGCTAACCACAAGGTCAGAGGTTCAAATCTATCAGTTCTTCCTTGGAAACCCTATATTGGGTCATTATAAGTCAGAACCAAGTAAACATCACAGAACAACAACAAATATGGAACATGGTAAATGTCACAATCGTAAGCCGTGGGCCCATTTTTGAGAGGAAAACAAGTGATTTTGCTAAGAATAATTGTTATCTGTCTTTAGATAATAAATCATCATTGTTTTGTTGTTGTTGTTGTCAGGTGACATCAAGTTGGAACCGACTCATAG